CGGAATTAATATGTTAAGTTGGCAAATTATTCGAAATATCAATATTCGGATTAATCGTCCAAGTCAAAAATATCCAAAATTATTTTCGACGTTACGTTTACGTTCGGAATAATTTTGGTAATTAAGTATCATGTTAGCTAATTAATTAAGCATATAGATTATGCTTAATTAAATATTAATCATGCTTAATGTATTCATTGCCGTGGGCAATTAATAATTTTGCCCCAAATATATCATAAAAGCCGTGAGCATTTCAACCTTTTTAAGGGGATAAATTTATTCCAAAGCTAGCATAAGGTGTCTCCTTATGGTGCAATTAGTGATGACTAAGATGATAAGGGGATGAGTTAGCATTCTATTAATCTTAGTGATGGCAAGTGGCATGCTAATATTAAGCCACAAAGCTCCACCTCCCCACTCCATTGTTTCGGTCAACTATTTAAGAATTAAGTTGGGGAGAATTTTTGGTTTTCCTCACCATAGCATATATGTGCTTAAGAGAGTTAGAGAGATTTGAGAGTTTCTCCCTAAGTTGAATAGCATAGCCGCACGCCGCGCCGAGTAACGCCGTACGCACGTGAGCTTCGAGTAAACACGAGCATCTTGTGCGATTAAGCAAGCAGGGAGAAAGGTAACCTCGGTTTATTCTTGCTTGAGGTTGCTAAAGTCATGTTAGATCAATATTTTATTCAAGTCATGTTCATGATTTGTCCATTTAATGCTTCGGCCGTGCGTGTAGCCCATGTTGAGCGTGTTCATGTTTGATTGAAGAATCTCTCGAAACAATTTCATGTATTTAGTCATGTCATGCTATATCATGTTCAGTCAGTTTATGGTGTTCGAGGAATTTTCACGTTTAAGTGTTAATTTGGCCGAAGGACATGGTCGTGCACATAGCGCGCGCCACGGGCCGCTCATGCGTAGCGATTATGTTAAATGATATTCCATCGAGCATTCATGTCCAATTATTCAGTATATATTATTTCTTGATCGGTCATGTGTCAGTTGCCGAGAGAAAAGCATGTTTGGTCGAGAGGTGTTGCC